AAAAATAAGCTTCTTTGCAATGGAGAGCACCCATCTATAAATTTCCTATGGGTCCATGAGATGCTATGCTTTCGTTCCCCTTTAGATTGTGTGTGTGTGTGTGTGTGTGTGTGTGTGTGATTTTTACATTATGTATTTGTATGTCAGATTACACGTGTTTGTGTGAACTGTAAATATTCTATTTTTTAGATTTGTGCAAAGTTGTGTTTTACCTTCATAATTTAAGAAGGAAAAATAAGCCTCTCTAAACATGAATGTGGTATTATTAGGAGAATTCTTCTAATTCTAGTTGGCAAGTACAACTAATATTTTATTTTAAAAAATGACAAAAACACTTTAGCACTGCTTATATTGCTTTCAGAGATTTTTCTGCATTCGTGTTTAAAGTAACAGTCAATCCTTATTTAAGAATTATTTGATACTAAATATAGCTAATCCTCCAGAGATAACTGCAGAAGCTTTGATAAATTAGCTTTTCAACAGACTGTACACTAAGATAGGAAAGTATATATTTTACTGATGTTACAGACTCCATGATATTTCAAACCAGCTTCCTTATGAACAGTAACTTGTGATTGGTTCTAGCTTTGGAAATTAGCATGTGTTTAAAACTTGTCTCTTTTGTATCTGTTTTTGACAACATTAAAAAATAGCTACAGAAAAAAACTTACATATTTAAGGCTGCAGAAAAAAAATACATATTTAAGATACCAAGAAAACAGCAGCATGCTTCATTGGATTTTCTGTTATTCTACTCTTAAGATTCATCAAGGAAATATAAGCGTAATATAATTCTTGCTCAAAATGTCCAACACCATGATTATAATGTGTCAGTTGAAAGCCATCTTTCTAGGTTCAGCTGATGGAAGCCTCTCTGAATGTCACAAATGTATATCGTTGTATATTTATCTTAAAAATGCTAAGAAGTTAGGAGAAATGGAAATGCCTGCACAGATAGTCAAAATAGAAATGGACACGAACCAAAAATGCTGGTGGCTTACAAGGGATTCTTTCTCAAGAATGTAAAACGTGGGATGGGAAGAACATGGTTAGAAAAACAGATGACTATCTATTCCACGTCACTCTGTGGCCTTTAAAATAGGCCTTTAAAATGAATCCTGCCTTAGGAACTTGGATAAAAAGGGGCGGATAAAGCAGGATAAAGCAGAAACAACTCTCAGCTTGTTGCTGCCACTGCTCACCACTAGGTGGCAACAGAGTGCAGCTGCATTACAAGTCTTTCCTTAAGGGACTTGCCCATTTGCGTGACACCGCCATGGGGAAAGGGCAAAAGATTGTCTCCTCAGATAATCTATTTACATAACCTTATAGGACATTTGCACCTACCTCAGCGTCAACATTAAGAGGCTGATTTTAGCCAAGCTAGGCCGAGTAGTCCAGCATAGTAATCTTTCATGCAATGAAGAGTGCACATCAAAATTACCATTTTGTTTCTTTTTGTTGTTGTTTTTTACCTATTTGTCATATTAAGAAATTATCCAGTATCCTTGGGGTTTTGATTTACTAATCTGCAAAATGGAGTTGAATTGTAGCCATTTTTTTACATGACCGAGACACATGAGCATTAACCAGTCAGTGTCAGTGTCCCAGCTCTCTGTGTAAAGCTGATGATGGACACCTTTACACAGCAGAGGAAATATATCTGTGGAAATGTGTGTCCTTCATGGAATCCCTGAGGGGACCCGATTAACCATCATCTTGTCCAACTCATTGATTTCAGAGATAGGGAAGCTGAGGCATCCCCAAGGTTACATGGTGGTTAACGCCCAAAACAGAAGGACGCAGATGAGCTGACATAGATAACTGTTCGTGCTACTCATTCCCTACTAGTCACATGCTTTAAAAATAAACTCTTTCAAGTACTGTCATTGGTCAGCTTTCCTCAGAACTGTCTCCTGGTTATCCACATTAACATGGAGGTGATTCTTGTTAAAGGCAAGCTTTGAAAAGTTCTAAAACTCGCCGTTGTAAGACACACACAACTTCTCTGCTAAGAGAAGTCTTGATTGAGTCTGGCCTCAGGATGTGAACAGTATGGGAAACTGATGATTTGTGGCTAAAACGAGGCGCAGGGTTTGAAAGATATGAAGGAAGGGAAAAGAGATATTGGGAAACAGGTAAAAGCAAGGACGGGGG